GCAAAAGAGAGAGTCCTATGCCAGAAAACTAGTTTATCGTTTGAACACATATTCAGTGAGCATCTTCTATAGGTCAGGCACTGTGCTGGTCCTGGGGATGATAGTGGGTATAGATCTGGAACCACCCCACGGGGGGCATTTTAGAGCAGGAGACAGATCAGGGAGGCCACCTTTTAATTCACCATGATCAGTACAAGGGATCTGTGGGAACTCATAGGAGGGGAGCCTAACCTGTCTGGGTCAGGGAATGAAACATAGATGCCTTCAGGGAATAAACTCTGAAACCCAAAACAAGGTTCATGGCACTAATGATGCCACAGAGAGGAGCAGAAGAGAGAACAACACTAGAGGCAGGGGAATGGCATGTGCAGAACCCCAGATGCAAGCAAGGGTGAGACTATGGGACTTCCCTGGTAGTCCAGTGGTTAAGATTTCGCCTTCCAATGCAGGGGGTGCAGGTTAGACCTAGTCAGGGAGCTAGGTTTCCTTTTGCTTCTTGGCCAAGGAACCAAACCTTAAACCGGAGGCATTTTTTTACCAATTTTATTAAGGCTTTTAAAATTGTTCCCCTTCAAAAAGTTTTTAAAAAAAAAAAGAGGGTGAGACTTGTGGATTCAACACAGCTGGAGGGAAGGAAGATGGGAGTTGAGGGGATGGGTGGAGATGCAAGAGAAGCTAGGGAACTGACTCTTCACATGGAAAGATCTGATCCGTATTTAGAAAGACCACTTGCCCTATGAGCATGAAAGTTGAACTTTTTTTTTTTTGGTTGGGAGTGCAGTGGAGGAGGAAAACAAGATGAGAAGTCCAGTTAGGCTGCTCCAGCAATCCAAGGATGAAAAAGAGACAGATTAGAGAAAGATTTCACAACAAAAACCTTCAGGATGGGTCCTTGCCACAAGGAGACAGAAAAATTTACAATGTTATCTGGGATTTCTGGCTTCAGCCAGTTAAATAGATGGAAGCACTATTCAACAGGATAGAAAATCTTGGCTAAAGGAAGTTCTCTTAATTGAGCACAAAATTTGATTCTAAGCTTCCCAGCAGCAAAGGCAAAGAAAAACCAAAATAAATGACCTCATCTCACTGCTCCTAACAGGATGCAAAGCCGTGCAGCATGGAAACCAAATTTTCTCATCACCTATACGGGGGGATTCCACCGCGGGAATCTTCATGAAAAGGACCATAAACCAAAGACAGACAACAGTTTTATAAAAGAAGCAGAAATGTTCTTGCGGGATTGTTCTGTGTATTGGCCTCTGATAAGAGCTGAGAATAAGATATTAAATCACAGCTGTGTAGTCATTTGTGCAAGGAAGTCTGTATAATGGCCTTGGGGTCTCTCATTTGCTGAAGAGCTTTGAGTTCTTGGCATCTAGAGAAGTGAGGGGTTGGATACAAATGGAAGGAACTTACACTGATAAATACATTTTATAAACTTGAAACTAAGAGTTCATGACCTTAGTGTACAAGTTAGTGCCAGGATAATTTTAAAGGAGAAAAATACAAAAGCTTCAATTCCAGCAAACACCACGAACGACATAATCAAGTAACTAAGAGTTTCATTTTTAAATGTTGAAACAGTTAGAATCCATTGTGGGGTTTCTTTTAATTAATTACATTTCTTCCTGATTGACCTGGGTTTACTATAGAAACTGGAAAAATTCAGAGACACAGGAATGGAAAAACCCCATATCACCTCTGATCCGAGCAAAGATGACCAACTGCTGCTAATACTGCAGTGTATTTATCTTTTCAGTTGTTTTTGTAGGCCCACAAATAAGCAAACACTTTTCTTTTAAAAAAGTTGGGATAAGGCTGGATCAATTGTTTCATATCCTGCTTTTTCTCAGTCACATTTGCCAATGACAAATAGAAAAGGAACTTACTTTCTCATGACCTCTCTTAATTTCTCAAAATGTATGTCTTTTGTCACTTGTGCAGACTTTCTGTAGTCTCTCTGCTTGTTCTCACTAGCTTCCTAAAAAAGAGAACTTGATTTTTTCTTGCCAAGGACCTAATTGTGTCATTTATAATAGAAATCTTGGGGCTTGGCATTTTAGCACAAGGAGAAAGAAATATGCTTAACGTCGTGTGCTTCACAGAAAGCACTAGAATAATTAGCCACCCAAGGCCACTTCTGAACAGGTTGTGGCCTTCTGGCCTCCTCTGCTGGGTAACTTCCCTGGGGAAAATTCTCCTCCAGTAACTGCTCCACAGGGACATAACCTCCATTCTCTCTTTCTCCTTCCTGCAATGTCACTACAGTAGATCGTAAAAATGGCCACAGTACTTTATTATTTCTCCCATCAAGAAAGAAAGTCTATCTCCTTCCCTGAGGATCAGAGTCTGTGATTTGCTTTGACCAATGGAAGTGGCACTTGGGACAGTGGGTCAGTTCTGAGCCACAGGCTTAAGACGCCTTGCAACTTCTCCTCCTGTTGCTCCCTGCCATCAACATGCAAACAAGCCTGGGCTAGCCTGTTGGGTGATGAGAAACCACATGGAGAAATGCTCCAGGTATTCCAGCCAACACCATTATAAACCAGCAACCCCAGCAGACCATGGTGAGCCTGGCTGAAATCAGCTGAGTCTAGTCCAGTTCAGAAGAACTGAAATTGATGAGATAAAGTTGAGAACTAGGGGACTTCCTTGGTCATCCAGTGGTTAGGACTCCGTGCTTCCACTGTAGGGGGCGTGGGTTTGATCCCTGGCTGGGGAACTAAGATCCCTGAAAACGAAATAGTTGTTTTGAGTTAGAAGGCATTGGGATTGTTTGTTATATAGAAACAGGCAACTGATATAGTCACTGAGCATATGTGAAGTAGATTTAAGCACTTTTTTGAGTATAAGAATTCGAGAGTTCAAATGTTTCACTGATGAGACTAGATAAGTCTCAGAAAGGCAGCTTCCACATGTGTTTTGATCCCTGGGGCAGCTCCATGTCTAACATGCTGGGCACACAGTAGGTGGTGCCTAAATGATAATAATGGCATTTATTGAATGCTTCCTATGTTGATTATATTATTTTGTGCTAAAGATGACCCTTTCCCACCCCCCAAAAAAGATGTCTGCATCCTCATCCTCAGAACCTATGGCTTTGTTTCCCTTACACGGCAAAAGCGACTTCGAAGATATGGTTAAGGATCTAGAGATGGAGAGATTATCCCGGATTATCCAGGTGGGTCCTATATGATCACAAGGGCCTTAAAATAAGGAAACAAGTTAGAGGAAGAAGTGACCATGGAACTAGAGGTTGGAGTGAAGCCCTTTGAAGATGAAGGAAGCAGAGAAAGGTTCTAAAGGAGGTGATATAAGGAGGACATCCTAGGCAGAGGGGTTGGAGAGAGGTGAAATGCTGGGAGATGAGAGNATGCACAAAGGAGTCTTTGTATCCACTCTAGATGAAAGTGCACTGACTAAAGGAGTGATATAAGTATAATATACTTTCAATTGTGTGGAGTTGTTGTGTTAAGTCACTTCTGTCATGTCTGACTTTTTGTGACCCTATGGACCTTAACCTGTCATGCTCCTCTATCCATGGGATTTTCCAGGCAAGAATACTGAAGTGGGTTCCATTTCCTTCTCCAGGGCATCTTCCCAATCCAGGGATTGAACCCTCAGCTCCTGCCGAGTCTCCTGCATTACAGGCAGATTCTTTTACCACTAAGCCACCAGAGAAAGCCCCATTGGAGAACTAAAGTTCACTCATCCAGGAGTGGCTTACTGGGTTAATGGTGTAGCCCAGTGAGAAATCAAGGGAAACAGTCTTTTAACTCAGCTATCTATTGCTGCATAACAATTAATCCTCAAATTTAGAAACTTCCAACAACAAACACTATCTCACTGTTTCAGTAGGTCAGGATCTTAGGAGCTGCTTAGCTGAGTGCTTCTAGCTTGGGTCTCATTTAAGGTTGCAAACAAGATGTAAGCTGGGGGCTTTCCTGGTGGTCCAGTGGTTAAGAATCTGCCTTGCAATGCAAGGGACACCGGTTTGATCCCTGATCTGGGAAGATCCCACATGCCTTGGGGCAGCTGAGTTGATGGGCCACAACTAATGAGACCACACTCTGGACCCTGTGAGCCACAACTACTGAAGCCCATGTATCCTAGAGCCTGCACTCCACAACAAGAAAGGTCACTGCAATGAGAAGCCTGTGTACTGCAACTAGAGAACAGTCCCCGCTCACTGAAATTAGAGAAAGCCTGCTTGTAGCAATGAAGATCCAGCACAGACAAAAATAAAAAAAAATAAAAAAAATGTTAGCTGGGCTTTACTATGTGAAGAATTGGCCAGGACCTTCTGATGACTCACTCACGCGTGGCTCTTGGCTCACTGCCTTGGTTTCTCACCCCATTGGCCTGTCCACGTAGGGCTGCTTGAGTGAACTCACAATATGGCAGCTCGCTTCTCTCAGCGCAGGTGATTGGAAACAAGGAAGAGGCCATGGTTCCTCCCGTGCCCTATATGGTATGTCATCCAGTGTCACAGCTGCCACATTCTATAGGAACAGAATGAGTCTCTGAAGTCCAGCTTGCACATAAGGAAGAAGAATCAGACTCCATCTATTTTTAAGACTTTCTCTTACTTATTTATTTAGGTTGCACCTCGTGGCATGTGGGATCCTAATTCCCCCACCAGGGATAGAACCTTCGCCCCCTGCGTTGGAAGGCAAAGTGTCAACCACTGGATCACCACGGAAGTCCCCTAGGCTCCCTCTATTGAGGGGAGAAATATTAAAAAATATTAGACATATTTTAAAACCACTATAAGCAAATCTAGAGTAGTGGTTTTAGGAGTGTTCTTTGGTAGGACAGTCTAGGCAGGAGCAATATGTCCAGGTTAATGGTTCTCAGATTTGGGTGTGAATATGATCCACATAGGGGTGCTTTTTAAGAGTTAAGATTCTTTCCCATACCCACCTTCAAGATAGTATACACTGGGAGCTGGGACCCAGAAACTGGCATTTTTTTATAAGCCCCTTGGAGTATTTTAAATCAGGTTATTGGGGTCCAGGAATCTCCATTTGATAAGTCTCCCAGAATTATTCTGACACGGGTAGCCTGTGAAAACAATACCATGGGAATTGGTGACAATTGCCCACTGGAACAGTAGGGTCAGAAATTTCAGGACAAAAGGGAGTAGCCTCGTGGATAGACGGGTCAAAGGCTGAAGAGGAAAGGAGCAGCCCTCGGACCCAGCTCTCCATGCACATGCCCCTGACAGAGCAGTCACAACCTGCTGCCCACTCTCCTGGACAGAGTCCTGGAAGCCTCCTGGTCCAGCACTCCAGCCAGCTGCCTTCCATCACTCAGAGTTGCCACAAGACTTGAAGCTTCTTTGCCATCCTTGTCCAGGAATATCTGTCTGGTTCAGAAACTCCTGGCAATAAAGCGATTTCCTCAGCATGCTCAGGGAAGGAGCAGAGCTACTATGTATTGTACAGTTGAATGGGGATGATGGTTGGGAGGGTCTGGGACCTCAGTGGGCAGGAGTGGCACTTGACCAGCACTTAGCCCTGGGAACCTGTAGTCTGAGTCAAATGCTGGAACACTTAGCACAGAAGCGATCCTCCCTTGAGGAGCAGGGTTTATTAGGTGGCCTCTGAGGCGGCTCTTTGTCTAGTGCTGTCTGGTTCTTCACCCATGTTGTCAGGAAACTTGCCAGGAGCCCCTGTGAGTTTCCAGCCATTGTCTGGGTCCCTCTTGCCCTCTTTTTATGGGATGGTTTATGTCTGCTCCTCAGCCCTGGGAGTTGCTAAGCAGCTGCTGGAGCCTTTCTGTTTTAAGCTGGGCCACTATTGTCGCTCTCTTTATCCCCATAAGAAGCCGTGACCCAGGTGGCTACAAAACTGCCAGGAGAGTCTGTGGTGTTATTGGCTCATAAAAGGGCAAGGAGCACACAGAGCCACACAGAGAGTGAGGAGCAGGTGATAGTGTTAGATCCTGTCATCGACACTGTGGCAAAGCCTCCTGCAAGTTCACATCCAGTCCTCAGGGATCTGACCTCTCACAGACTCTGGCCTTGGGCACTTTGGACCACAGGTCTTTGTGGTTGTTGTGTGCTGGGGTTTTTTTTTAACCCTATTTTCAGAATCAGAGAAACCATTCCCCAAGAGAAAGACTTGACATGGCAATAGCTTGAACCCCTGAAAGACCTACCCTCCCCAATTCTTCTTCCCCTCTGCTGCTTATAATACACTGAACCATTTCTAAGGCAAATGTAACTATGTAGCTTTCTCCACCCCTCCTCCCACATTCAATCATGCTCTGTTTAAAAAAAAAAAAGAAAGGTTAGAAAATAGAGATATGGAAAAAATTCACCCTATACCCAAAGATAATGACTATTAACATCCTGAAATATTTCTTCTAGATGCTTTCTCTCCACAAGTATATATTTGTGAGTATGTGTGTGTGCATATAGTTGATCCTTGAATAACACGGAGTTAAAGACACTGACCTCCTGCGCCCGTTGAAAATCTTCCTCCTGCTGTCTCTGCCTCAAAAACAAAGGAATTTATAAATGACTCACCCAAAGGCAGGAAGCTGAAACAGTTTGGATGGGATCAGGAATCCAACTCTATTTCTTCTGACTCCACATATTGTGATCTCTAACTAAATACAAACTTTCCCCTACATTTAACTTAAGGATCTCTAAGATGAAAATATAGATACTATATTTATTGAAAAAAATTCATGTATGGATGAACTTTTGTTTAAGTGGAATTTCAAAGTTCAAACCTGTGTTGTTCAAGGGTCAACTCTATCTATTAAACTACCAACAATTTGAGTAGGATAATTCTTTGTTGTGATGTTCAGCAGTATCCCTGGCCTCTACATTTGTGATAACCAAATATATTTGTTGGCATTGCCAAATGTACCCTGAGGGGCAAAATCACCCTCAGTTTAAAATCACTGATCACACATAACACACATTTACAAAATGGAATCATATTGCAAATACAGCCTTGTCTTTTTTTTTAACAAGTTATCATGCCATGAACTTATTTCATGTCAACTATTAAAAACCTACTGTATTATTTGTAATATCTGCAGAACTGTCCATCAGTTGAACTCATGTGAAGTAATTTATGTCATCAATCCCCCATTACTGGATCTTCTGTGTAAAACTGAAATTATATGGCACACCCTGCATGATAAACTGCTTTTTAAATTTAAGATATCATGAACATCTATCCACAACATAGCTGTGGGATGTTGACCAAATTATTCCACCTCTCTAAACCTCCACTTGCTCATCTGTAGAATGGGAATGTTCTGGGAGAATGACATACCAGAATGGGTGCCTGTGCCCAGCACAGAGAATGTTCTCAAGAGAGGACCAGAGCTTTCATTCAAGTCCTTGCTATGATCACCGTGTCCTGGGTTTTTAATGGCTTTTAGTAGCCATTCCCCATAGGAAGATACCATACATTAGTAAATTGCCTCTGAGGGTGGACTTTTGGGGGGTTTCTGAATTTCCATACTTATCAACGACCCTGTTGTTAATATAATCATAGATGGCTTCTCCTGATGCTTTGAGAAATCAATGAAAGAGAAGAAGCTGATCCACCTGTGCTAACCTGGGATGAGTGAAGCAGAAGACTAATCATATTCTTCATGGCCAAGTTCTAGAAACATTAGTAAGTGCTATGGTCCTACACACCTTGTACCCTCAGGCCCTGCCAAGCACTAGTTACCTGGTCCTAAGTCAAGACGCTAACCACAGGCATGACTCCCAAACTAAACCCTGGATGGTTTTATTCTGCTTTTGTGTTGAGCCCAAGTCCCCTTCATCTTGCCTAAAGACCACCCCAGGATAGTCTTCAAACACCATGAGATTCCCCTTCTATTCTTTTCTATTTAAGTTATGAGTGTGCAGTGTGTGATATATACAACACATGTATGCGTATGTATGTGTGTATGAAAATGTATTTGTACCATTTAAAGAGCAATAACAAAATAAATCCCTCTGTATCTACCATCCAGATCAAGAAACAGAACACTTAATACCAAGAAGCACCCATGTGCATACTTGCCTCTCCTTCAGGGAGCTTTCCTCGCAGCTGAGGACTAGAAGGAGGAGGGCCCTTGGAAATAGCAGTCAGCAAAACAGCCCCTACCAGAGTTCTGCTTGCTTGCCCCCAAGCTCGTGGCCCTGGTAGCTGGTTATCTCTGAGAGCTTCAGTTCCTCATCTTTGAATGGAACATTGTTTTGCAGAATAAATGAGATGCTCCTTTGGATAAACACTGAGTCTGATGTCTGGCATCCGAGGAGGTGCCAAAGCACAGAAGCTGTTGTTTTTATCATGGTGGAGCATTTCTGGACAAGGAAATCGGAGATGCAGTGCCCACCTGGCTCTGCCAGCCCTGAGCTGTGTGATTCCAGGCAGAGTAAGTCCTGGGTCTCAGTTTCCTTGGGTGGGAAGTAAAGACAGCAGCCTCACTACAAAATTTCAAAGCTCCTTTCTTCCCAACTCCAGCCTTTTGGAATTCTACTAATTCTTAAGCCACAGAGAATGGGAGTAGGATGAAGCACAAACTTAACACAAAGCCTCCGTAGATCCACAGCTAGATCTTAGAAAATGATAGTGTGACTGGCTCAAGGTCACGTGACCAGGAGGTCATACTCTGGTTAGCAATGATGATATTTTAAGCACTTGTGGGAGATTGGTGCTTGAGAAGCACATTGACCCTCTTTAATGTGGTGATGACACATGTGGGCATCCTCCAGTTAATGCCTGGGCACGTGTTCCTTTAGAACAGCCCTGTCTCCTACTCTTCCACTCACTTCCTTTCTGCTCACATCCTGGTCCTTTGTACTTTCTAGGTCTCCTGAGGGCTGTTTGGTTTCTCAGTGTCAGACTTCAGGTGGTGAATGTGCCTCTCCCTCTGTTGGAGAGAATTCTCTTTCAGCTGTGACTCTCTGAGCTCATCCAGCCTCTTCTACAATAACCTTGGCCCTCATTCACCCATGAACTGAGAACTCATCTGCTCTCTCACTCCTCTAGACTTAAGAAACCACCATCTTAAGGTGAACTGACCTTCAGAGGCAAGTAACTCCCAGGTAGAGTAGCCGTCCGCCAAGGGCCAGAAAACAACACTGCTAAGACCAAGGCTCCAAAGGAAGAGTCTACAGGCTCGATAAGGTCTTCCTGGGGCCCCAGTGATGACATGTTTGTCCCCAGGCCTCTTTCTTCTGCAAATCCCAGGAGCTCTTCTCCTCTCTGTCCCAGACATGAATCCCTCCTGTCAGGGAGAAAGACAACACGTTGAAAATCTCCCTGTAAGAGGCAACAACCACAACACATCCTGCAAAATCCTCGCTGAGTCCTGACTGCTGCTCTAAATAGTGGTGCTAAGGTAGAGAGAAGGAGTAATTTCTTTACTCCCAAAGAAGGGCTATTTTTATTACATCCCAGGAAAAGAAAAATTAGGGCTCCACTCACTGCTTCTGACTGCTTCTGGGTCTGACAGACCAAAAAGGAAACATTTCCTGTTGACAAAAATTTTCAAGTTTCTCCCACTGGCCATGTTTACTCTTTCCTGACTTTTGTTGAAATCTCTGCTCTGGATCTCTCCCTGTGGAGGACAGGGACTTGCAATGCGAACTCACAGTTATTTTTTAACCACACACTTCTGCGAGGGTGCTTGACCTCCAGCCCTTCACAAGTGTGCTGTCAGTTTCTGGTCATGGCATCACATTGATTTTGCCTACCACCAAGGGTCTCTGCTTTATCCTCCCAGTTATACCCGTTAAGTCTGGGAGGGGTTTTACATAAAGGCTATAACAATACGAGAAGCCTTAGATGTGTACATATAAAGTCAAAGAAAGAGTAAAACATTATTTACTTTCCCCAGCAAGTCATTCTTTGGCAGGAAACTGGGCTCTGGGAACCTCTTAGCACTCTGCTCTCCCTGGATTCCCCACCTCCCACTGCCCTCTGCTTTCAGTCCTGCCAAGCTCTCTGCACACTTCTGCTCCTTTCTGCTCTTCTTCCTCCCTGGGTCCCGGTTCCATAATAAAGTAGTGGCAGCAGTTCCGTCCTTTAGAGTCTGGGGAAAACAGCCAGATGACAGAAATGCTCCTTTCTTTGACAAGACTGTGGTGCACTACTGTGCAAACAGAGACCCTGTGGTCTCCTTTCCCGGGTAGTGTATCGGTAGAAAAGGAACTGGGGTAACAGAGAATCTCATCTTCCCCTGGCACTGCTGATGCTGCTTCTGCAGTGTTCCATGCAACCTGGAGCTGAAGAGTGGGACCTTGTGGCGTGGAGCAGGATGCAGCTTGCCCTATGATCACAGAAGAGCAATGGCCTTATGTTAAACCAGTGCTAATGGAAGACAGGGTTTATGGTATCTAAGAAAGCAGTTGTCTGATGAGCACAAAGATGAGCAAGGTTACAATGGGAAACACCTCTTAGACTTGAGTGTGCTACAAGGTGACAGAGTGAGTGTGTAACTGCAGATGTATTTATAAGAACTGTGGGCGCTGTAGGGTTTAATTATGGTTCACCAGTTGGGCCACAGCTTTATAAAGGAGGTGATTTGGGAAAACTGGGGAAATTTGAATACAGTCTCTGCATGTTACATAGTATTGTATCAGTGTTAAGTTCCTTGGGTGAGATCATGGAATATCTGGCTATGCAGGAGAATATCCCTTGTTCTTGTTGGCATGTGCTAAAGGATTTACAAGTGAAACTACATCAAGTTCTTCAACTTACTTTCAGGTAGTTCAGACAATAAATAAATAAATAAATAAATAAATAAATATGAACAGACATATATACATATATACATAAAATATATCAAGAATTTTACAAGAGAAAGTCATGTTTGTCTTATGTTTCCCACTGAAGAGTCTAAATATATACATATTTTGTCCTGAGTATATTATAAAATATAATAAAAGTATAACCATATAATATATAGCAGGTGTATATGTATATAAAAATATATGTACTGAGAAAGAGGGAAAAGAAGAGAGAAAGCACCCTTGGGAACTCACTATCAATTGGTGAAAGTGGCTGAAAGGGTATATACATTGTTTCAATTTTCCACTGGTCAGAAATTTTTCTAAATAAAACATTGGTAGAGGAAGTACACTATCTCAACCAGTGAAGTAATCATCACTGGGAGGCAAGACGCTGTCCATCTGTCTTAATTTGGGTTTCCCCAGAAGCAGATCCTGAGATAAAGGTTTAAGTGCAAGTCATTTATTTGTGGAAGTGATCCTGGGAAACACCAGTGGGGAAGTGAGAGGAGGGGAGGATGTCAATAGAGAGGACATTTCCTAACCACTTGCCTCCCACAGTAAAGGGAGTTTCAGCCCACTGGGGAATTCTAGAGTCCTGTAGAACATCCCAGAAGAGAGGCAGGGAATTTCTGCACCAGCGCAGCCCTGGTAACTCCCACGGGTGTGGGCTGGGACGATTGCAGGAGCCAGAGAAAGGCTCCCCAGTGCTTAACGGTTAGCCAGGCCCAGCTATGGTGAGCCTGGCTTTCCAAACTCCTTCATCATCCATCCATTCAGTCATCCAACCAATTTCTACCTAGTGTCCACTGGAGCCAGGCCCCGTGCTAGGTGCTGGGGTTTTATTCATATGCATTAAGACAGATACAATCCTTGCTTCTACAGGGAGATGTAAACAAGTCGGGAAAGAAACAAAAGTCAGGACACAGAAAATAACAAGATTTGGAGGAATTACAGTCATTCATTCAGCTAATCCTCAAACTTCTACTAGGCTTATACCTTGTGCTAATCATAATTCTTGACATGGGGACACACAGATGAAACAAGATTTGTAGGTCCTCTGACAAATCATGGATTTTTTTTTTTTTTTAAGAAAAAGTCTAATTAAAGGCCTATTGCTGCAGATGGGTGATGAGGCATTGAAATCCAGCTGCGGAGACACTGAATGGCCCCATCATTTGCATGTACTTAGAGAAGACTCCCTCCTCCCCTCCCACCACCCCACTGTGCCCAGAACGCTAACCCTGCCTGTGAACCAACCCAGAGGAATAGCCTTCTATGAACTGAACTTGCTTCTGAAACAGCTACAGTAGAAGGGTGCATTCTTCCCCCGTTCTTGGGACACAGGTCTTCTGGGTGGTGTGGCAGCTGTAAGGGCCCCAGTGACCCCGCCCCCCGGGGGAGGAGGGAGACCCAGGGTCCACTGAGAGACACCATATGGCTTTCACTTCTGCCCAGCAACCAAATGTCGCCCCTGATCACGTGAAAGTGGAGACATCAACCAAACCTGGTTCCAGTCCTTCTAAACACCAAATGACTTCCTCCTACAAGATTCATCATTTAACTGACGCTGGCAGAATACTGTGTGACTTCAGCATCAAACACATCCGTCTTCTGTAACAGTGTCCATCCATCAGGACACAAAGACAAAGATAAGAGATAAGCGTGTGGCACGAGTTACAGACATCAAACTCTGGGATTTGGGAAGTGGCAGCTGTTTTAGGGAAGAGAAAAAAAGCAGGAGGTATCGCTTTGAGAATTGCAACCCTATTGTTCTGAGTTGTTTTTTTCCCAGAGTGGTGTGGAATGGATCCTTTTCTTTCGGTCAAGCTTTTATTGCTTTCCTGTAATTTGGATGAGGAGGGAAACCAACACTTTGTAACAAGAAGCCGGAGGAAAGCCATGGTGTGCTGGTTTCTGAATGGTGCTGGCTGGTGGTGGTGGGAAAGGCTCAGCCCCACCCTTCCCTGGGCCAGCTCTGGGCAGCCCCGCTCAACTTCATTCTGGGTTCAAAGGCCTCCTCAAAGCTTCTCCTTTCTCCCTTTTGCATACAGTCTGTCTGAGTCCCACAGGCCCTGCATTTGTCTGTCCAGGCCATGCATCTCCTCTCCTGGCCACCCCCGATGAAGCTGGCCCAGGACCTATCATATCCAGCCGGATGTCAGCAAAGTCCCTAACTGGCCTTTGAGCTCTGCTGTCCTCCAACCCCTCTCCACAGCAGTCTTAGAGAGCCTCCTGCAATGTACATCTGCTTCTGGGGACGTCCAGAGCGCCGTGTGCTTCTCAGGATGAAGCCCTCACTCCCCGGCACAGACTCAAAGCCCCCATGACATTCCACCTCCCAGCTTCATCTCCCTTTTGCTCCAGCCTGACAAAACCTCTGCCCGACCTGTCGAGAGCATACGGAGACATCCACAAACGCTGCTCTCTCTGCCTGGAAAGGACTTCTTCCTTCCAGGCCCTTTCACTGTCCCAGATCATCATCATCATTTTTTTTTTTTTTAACTTTTTATTTTGTACTGAGGTATAGCCAGTGAGTTAATGTTGTGATAGTTTCAGTTGAACAGCAAAGGGATACACAATAGATACACAAGAATCCATTCTCCCCTAAACTCCCCTCCCATTCAGGCTGCCCCGTAACATGGAACACTATACAGTAGGATCCCAAACCTTCTTTTCACTGAATCAGTTTTTCCTCCTCTTTCGAGGCCTGCCTGGACATCACTTCCTCCAGTGGGGCAGCCCTGAGCCTGGACACTGGGGTGAGCTTCTCTTCCCACCCAGCTCTGCCTGCCCCATCACAGCCCTGCCTCACCAGCAGGGTATGCTTGCCTCTATGCCCACCTGAGCCCTGGCACCATGTCTTAGCTTTCCTGGAATGTCTCATGGAGTTCTCCGGGTGGAATGCAGGCTCGATTAATGCATACAGGATATACTGGTAAATAAATGAATAGATCTTTGTTAAGACATTCAGACTGCTGCTGAAATGGGGTTCTTCATTAGTGCCAGGAAGAGTGTGGACCATCCACTGGTGACAAATTGGTTACAAATTAAGTATAGAAATTGAGGGTGTTTAGAAATCTTTATAACAATTTACCTGAGAACTTTCATGTCTGCTCGACCTATTACTAAAAATGTTGGCCTTGTATTTTGTTTGTTTGATCTATTTATGTATTTTTTATATTTTTCTATTGTATTTTTTTTTCTATTAATTTATTTTCATGGTGTTTTATGCAAGTATTGGGCTTCCCTTGTGGTTCAGCTGCTAAGGAATCCACTTGCAATGGGGGAGACCTGGGTTCTATCCCTGGGTTGGGAAGAACCTCTGGAAGGAAAGGCTACCACTCCAGTATTCTGGCCTGGAGAATTCCATGGACTGTATAGTCCATGGGGTGGTAAAGAGTCAGACACAACTGAGCAACTTTCACTTTCATGCAAGTATTGGTTTGCAGGTGGTTAAAAATCTAAAACACTGATCCTTGTATATGTATAATTG